CACACACACACACACACACACACACACACACACACACACACACACACACACACACACAAAACACACACAGAGACAACTCCGTAACAATATGGGTTTTGTACTGCTGTTACATAGCATAAAGCGCATAAATGAAGGCCGCGCGGCTAACAACTATATTATATTTTATTAAAAAACATGAAACCATTGAGTTCAGATAAATTTCTGACATGTTCAATCAAATAGAAAGGTTCCTAAACGGAAAATTCCATACCAAAAGGCTGAAAAAAACTTACGCTTCTTCAATTAAAGCAAAATTAAGAAATAAAAATGATGTTGTTCACTATCCAAAGTTGAACATCACTACTTATATTGTCTACAAATCTGAATCAATATCGCAGTCCCACATAAGTGCTACATAAATCGGACGATTTTTCTGGGTCTGGAGACCCCTTCCATCCCCTCCCCCCCCTCCCCCCGCCTATGTCAATTGTACAAAAAAGAGGGTAGTAGCAATTATTGAGTTAAAACGTGAACAATTGCAAAACAATAAGGAAAAAAAAGGAAAAAGAAATTTTTCTCCCTCCAAAACCAACTGTTCAAACGAATTTTACGAAAAATGCAAACATCTAGTGAGGAAGTGGATAAAGGACGGTTAAAAAACAATAAGCAAAAAAGGGGAAAAAAAAACTTTCTCTCTTCCAAAAGAATATTTTCTTAAGATTTCCGGAAAAAAGCAAACAACCACTGATAAAAAAGGCAAAAATTAAAACGAACTGTACATGACTGTGTCCCACTGGTTGCTGTGAATGTGGATGGCGGCAATATCGCAGTACAATGCCCATGATTACATTGAAGCAAACGCCTGCACCGGCTGTGACAATCATCGTATTTGTGTCCACCTAAATGGCACACGATCCAAATTAATATTCCCATTCAGATTTTAATCTTATTTTATTCAAATTTTCATTTTTAAGGTTAAAAGAAAAATGTGTAAATGCTGTTGGAAAATGATAAGAAAGGAAGATAGAAAAGACAAAAAAAGGAAGGATGTGAAAAAGAAGTCTTCCGAGGATGTGAGTTTTAATTCCTTACATTTTTCATAAATATTACATCAAATAAAATTAAAAATAAAATTAAATTAAGCTTAAACGGCACAATCAATGTCAGCTTTACCATCAACTGGAATTTCGTTGACGCCTGCTATCACTGGGGTTATCTACGTGTGTTTTTGCCTCGAATGCAAAAATGTGGTTTTGAATTTTGACTTTTCGGGTAAGTTAAAAATGTGCATTAGCAGATTTTTCGACATGGCAGTATTTAAGAAAAAGACCCCATGGGCCGTTTTGGCCCTGTGGGCGAATGGAATTTGGAAATGTAGGGGCTGAACCGGTACTGGGTGGCTCTAACTAGGACGTGCATAAGACGACGTAGATCCAAAACCCGTTGAATTTTATTAAATTGGAAGGGGGAAGGAAGTCGAACCCTCCTACTCTATTCCATTTAATGTAAAATTCGACAAAGATGGAGCTCAAGAAATTTGTCGGTAATTTCTGGCTAACCACAGGCATATTCACAGAATGCAATCCCAAAACAAAAGAGAGAATCGAGTAAGAGTGTAGAATGAAACTAACATCCAGATCACCGCTAACGATCCTCTGTACAGCGGACATGACAAGCACTGTGGTAAGAATCCAAATGATCACGATCGATACCATCGCACCCAACACCTCAGCACGATCGAAGCCGAATGATAAACGATAATTTGCTGGAAATCGAGAAAAAAATGATGAAATAGCTGTTATAAAAGAAAAACTTGTCAGTTCTTTCGCTAAAAGGCAGTTTTAAAATCTATGTATTCTTTTAAAATTTGCATATTCTGCTTTCTAGCTTTTTTCGTTTCCGAGTTAACAATTTCCCCGACAAAATTCTCAGGTGTCCGTACGTGAGACTGGATGGTTCTAAAGAACTGAGTTCGAAATCTTTGTTCCTACATGAGTAAGGAATATTCCTTTAAAATTTCAGCTTTCTAACTTTTCTCGTTCCTAAATCTGCGATTTTACCGCCAAAATTTTCGCATGTTCATACGTGAGACGTAGACGTCCGTGACAGTTGATATCACGTTCATGGAGATGTACTTGGCTGGAGAACATACTGGCAAAATTTCAACATCGCAGCTTGAGTGGTTGCTGAGTAGAAATACCTGGATGGACAAATACACACACATACAGACAAACAGACATACACACACGTACAGACAAACAGAAATACACACACATACAGACAAACAGAAATATACATATACACACAGAGACAGGGTCGTCAAAATATGCATTTTTTGCTGCCTGTTGCAGAGCTCTAGCGTTACGCGTATGGCAAAAACGCATAAAAAGTTAAAAATCCGTCAGAATCCACTCTCTTTGAGAACCGGAGACAATCAAAAGCAAAGCGAAAGGTACCGAGTATCAATAAAAACCACCCACTGAAATGATTGTCGACTACGTACATTTACCTGAAAATTCTATAAATACTGAAAAATATTGATTGATGCATCTACCAGGAGATCGAGCAAGTCGTATTGCAATGATCGAGATAATGAATGAGAGCAAATCGCTGAGCATATGTCCCGCATCTGTCATTATTGCCAAGCTATGAGCCAAAACACCACCAGTGAATTCGACAACGATGAAAAATGCACTCAATATTGCTACAAGTACCAATGAACGTTCAGCTCTTCCGTCCTGAAAATATTCGTACGAATGTTTCATCAATATCTTCATTTCAAACAACTATGCTGGAGATGAAATTCCATGCACCCAGACATGACAAATACTCATTTTTGTCGCAAACTCAAAAGCGAGTGTATTTTACA